TTAAAAGTCATAAAGATTATTGTATAACCTAAAAATTCGTTATCGTCCTTTCTCACTCGAGGCCACGCCGATCATTAGTCTATAGGTTTCTCTGTCTACGCACGGTTTACTGTCATTATCTATAAGCACAGAGCAGCTAAATCGGTGAGACGCCATGTTGAAAATCGATAAAAATAATTAACTAATTCATTTGTTCAGTTACGAACAGGTTCCCAGAAAATGAATAAAACAAGCTATGGATATAACAAAAATGAAAAATAGTAAAGAATAGAGTTAAAAGGTGCAAAAAATTAAAGATCAAACCACTGAGGCATTATCTTGTGTAATAATATAATAATACTCTAGAAACTCATAAAATTTCATTTCAAAATTATTTACCTCAGTCACAACTAGCGACATCTAGTAAGTTGAAGATTATTAGCTCTCATTATCTATGGTAGCTTGTATGCACTCATTTACATAAGACTTATATGACAATTCAGTGTATATACATTTTAAACTTACAGATTTACATTATCTTATTTCGGCTACTGAACCTGTCTAACAGTACTTAAATAATAAGTTCCAAAATAGGACGGACTAGTTTAGTTCTCCTTATGACTAGAATAATCTCTTCAGAAATATATTTATTTCTTTACACATCAACTGCTAGGCCAGTCTCAACACCTTTGCTGTCATTCCACTCGCTTGAACCTAACGCCTTGCTTCATCGTTCCTAATGCTTACAGCAAAATAAAAATTAGACATGTGTCAATAGTGAATGATCCATTCATTTGACCCGGCTCGCATCAAAGAATTGATGGAATTTTTGGAATTTTCCGAATGAAACGAATGACAGCACCTACGTATAGTAATGTCCGACGACCGACATTACCGTGCCGGTCTCATAGATCACAGAATATTGAAACTCGAAGTGATCCATTTGAATTATCGACCCGAAGGACTCGGTTTGTGAGACGAATCAATACTTGAATAATCGGGTCACTAGATATTAATGATTGACACATGTCTAAATGGAATTAATTGCTTTAAGTCCACTGCTGGACATATGCTAGCTGTCTTTTCAGACATACGCCAGTTGGTCTGCAATTTATTCTTTATCAGGCCGTTACTGTTACAGTAACGGATATAAGAACTATTTGCTTTATTATTTTATAGAATAACTGTGACAAACGAGCACACAGTCTACCTGATGGTAAGTGAATGCTGTGGCCTATATACATCTACATTGATGCTCGATCAAGTATCAAAATGCAGATCCGTTGTCATCCCTTAGGATAAATATAGAATGTCTCGTTTTCAGTAAAAATTTCAAGTATCTGTGTTTTATTGATTAAAACTTCTTTTACGGATTTTTTTCGCGTTTAATTATTTTTATTTTTAATTCCCGACGTTTCGGGAAAAAGTAGTTTTAATCAATGTCTAGTGTTCGCGTAAATATAAGAAATCATTATCTGTCTTTTATATTGAAATAACTAGCCTCTAATAACTGCCGGCATTTGCGTGCTATTAAAACATAAACAACTATTATATAATACCAAAGACATTTAAGTATACATTTAAATCTCTTTATATAATACGAACAGAAATATATAATATTATTCTTAATATACTATGCTAAAATATAATAAATAAGAAATGGCCATTTTTTTACGATATTTTTTTCAGTACATATAAAAATGATGTGTGCTCAGGGCAAAGAGATTTAAATATAATATATATGAATCGGTCATTTCAAAAACCACTTAAGTCACATTTTTTCCATCATGCTTTTTTTGCTGAAAATGGTTCCTCAAAGGTAGATACGTATTCTGGGTGAAAACCACTTAAGTCAGTACATTCTTTCCTCTTTTAATAATAGCGCGTGAAAGACGTTCATTGCATAAACAACATTATTCAGTGACTTAAGAGGTTTTTGAATGCACCACTAGATGGCAGGGGTAGTTTATGACTGAGTTTTAAATGACAATTTAAATTTGCTTTGTTTTAATTGGTTCAACAATATTTCAATCTTTGTAAACCATATCCATTAATGTCATTTGAACTTCATTTGTCTTTTACTCAACTATTTTGTGCGAAAAGTAAGTTTTAGCTTAAAAAAAATGTCTTCAAGTGAAACTGAGAGTGATGGTGAGCCGAAAAAGAAGAGAACATGTAATCTCGCAAAATATAAAAGGTATGTTATAAAAATTCTAAGGTTAAAGGACAGGCATATACTAATTATCAAGGAAAACAAATATCTCCAAGATCTACTGGTGAAAATTGCAGGCAAGTTTATCATAAACCTTTATTCAGTTTACGTTTTTTATCGGGGCCTATATAAACCTAATAAATCGCTTATTTATTGCAGATATAAGAAGGAATGTTTTGCAAACTTCAACCAAGATGATATGGAATTTTTCATTTCAAAACTTTACTTTTTTTAACAAAAAATGAGCAGGATATGTTTCTTCAAACACTTATTGATAAGTTAGACATAAAACAGAGGCGTCCTCGAAAAGAAAATGCTACACAGAGGCAAAATGCTTGTCAATTCTAGTTTTAAAACAAGGGTTAGTTTACAGTAGCTAGTTTACAACTCCATATAGGCTGATAAATGCAAGAAAGCATTTATCAACCTATATGGAGTTAGTGAAGCCAGAGTTCGCAGACTTTGTGATTTGCTTAATGAAGGGAAGAGTCCTATAGATAAGAGAGGATGTCACCCAAAAGCAAATACAGTGCCTCCTGAAGTATGCCAAAAAATACACTCCCAGGAGAATACATTGATTTTGTTTCGAACTCCAGCTCAACATTTACAGTCATAGAGCTAAAAACTGAAGATGTTTTGGAATTTAAGAAATAGTGGCCAAATTTGTACAAAAAACATGTTTGTCAACTGAATCTTATGGAAAAAAAGTCCCAAAGGACCAGAAAAAGTCATTTGCACCTTCGACATACATGAGTTTTCAGTATGATTCAGATCGAAAAGGAACTATCACAGCCGAGGAATATATTGATGGATTGATTAAACATTCATTCTCATTAATAAAGAAAATAAGAATTTCTGTTTCACTTCCATCAACCAAAGCCTATGATTTGAAAGTGCCTATCAATTTAAAAAAAATAGACGATTTAAAACAAGTTCAAGGTAGCATTCTAGAAGATCATATGCCATTTTATAACAACATTTTTAGCTGGCCAACTGCAAATGTTGAAGATAATCCGGATGAGAATGATGGAGAATATGACTATGTACCATAAATATATTGAAACATGACGAATTAATACATTTAAAATGTTAATAAGATTAATGTAATTCTTAATTACAAGCAATAAAAAATATGATAACTACGATTGTTTTGGTTAAATTATATACAACTAACTCTATTTCTCGCTAAAACAACATAAGTCAAGAACTGTTTTTCGGGTTTTTTTTTTTCATTATTTCTATTAATAAAGTGTAAAGGTTATTTTTTTTTAATCTTACTACTCAAATACTAAATTAAACATAAAAAAGTCCTTTAAAACTCATTTGTTTGTGTATGAAACAGTTTTTATTGATTTCTGAAAAATTATAATTTTGTGACTTATGAGGTTTTTGAAATGACCGATTTATATACACTATAGAGTAGACATTGGGAACATTTTCATACAAAAGCTGTGACCACGCGCATTTATTACACCCTCTAGCGAAATATAGCAATACTACACTGAATATTTATTTAAAAAACATTTTAGCTATTTCCCAGTAGGTGACACTACTAAACATAGGGTAAAAATCCATTGTGGGCACATCGTTATTCACTAACATATTTGTAAATAAATAGTGACGCTATTGGATAACAGAGGGCACTTATTACAATAATTTTTCTTTCTTCTCGAACAATCTACTAGAAATAATAAAATTTAAAGATTATTTGGTAAATACACATTATTCTTACGATAATAAACCGAAATCACGTTCATTTATTGCTCTATATCGTAACTTACAATACTTTAATGCACAACCAGGCATATTTTCTTTAAAAATATTTATAAATTTATAAAATGAATGCGTCTTGACCTTTTGACGATGTCACTTAGACTAAATGACAAATATCGGAGATATATCCTATAGGACAAAAGTTACAGACGACAATTTTGTTACTGATGTCCGGTCTATTACTACTGCCTGTTTAAATGTCTTTGGCTCGTGGGATACTTAGGATGTCATTGTGACATGGATAACCATTTGTAACTGAACCGATTGAGATGAATCCTCAAGAATAGTTAGAGAGCAATAGTGGAGATTTTTGTTTGTAAACCAGAAAATTTATAATATAATACATAGATGTGTGTTTGGTATGGTCAATGTACAAAACCGGAGACCCTTTTTACTGGAAACGAGGCCTTTTGATTCTTAATCGAGGATAGATGAAGATGCTCTGGTCAACAGCATCACTTAACATCCGGTGGACTGTGTGCTCCTTTGCTCCTCTCATTCTATAAAATACCAAATAAATTATATTGTTATTTGTTCGATCCCATGTTTCTAGCCATAGAATACTACGAGTATAATACATATATAATAGAACGGGGGAGTGGGCGGAGCCCGTGTAGCCACTAAAATTCCACTAACACGTATAAATATCAACACGAGATGTGTTTTGACGTTACAATCGTTTCCAAATTTCGTAAGCAAATTATTTGGAAAATGCCAAATAGCACGCTATTTACAAATAAATATGTATTAAAATCCGTCTGTCAACACAGCGAATCGGGTTTGTTGTAGTGATTAACTGACAATACGATGTAATTGCTTGTATGTCCCGGCGACGCCTATCCTCGTTCAAAATAAGGTTGACAGCCATTCTATTGTGTATTATAGTATTCTATGTTTCTAACTATATATATTATACTACCTCAAAGCTCGTTATAAATGTTGTTCGGAACGCTCCTTCACAAACTCATCTTATTCATACGAATATACACCTCGTATACACGAGGCATTTCCTAAGGTTACGGTACAATAAAAACTTTCAATCGGCGGTGGTGGAAGATGGTGCTACGTGGTGGGTGATGTGGGCGTCGTGGGATTGGTGCGCGGCGTCGGGAGCGCTACCGGCGAGCAGTGTACGCAGCGTGAGCGCCTCCTGGCGGAGAGCGGCGACATGAGCGCGTAGCGACGCGTTTTCTTGCTCCAGGAAACAGGCTCGCCATGCGATCTGATAAAGGAATTTATATTAAAATGACATGCCTACAATCTTTTGACACTGACCAACTTTAGATAGACAAAGCCTTTAGTTATTTGCAGTAGATTCTTGAAAGTTACAGATGCGTTATCCCTTCTGAGGATTAACATGAAATGCCTAACAGCCTGTTACCAACTTCAGCCTTTTTTATATAAAAGGAGGCAAACGGCTCACCTGACGATAAGTGCAAGCCCGGGGGATTTGCAGATGCGTTGTGGGCCTTTAAAAAAGAGTACTTAGGCTCTTTTCTTGAAGGTCCCTAAGTCATACCAATCCGGAAAAATTGTTGATGGAAGTCGATTCTAGAAGAAAGTTGTGTGAGGAAGAAAACTTCTTGTAAATCGCACAGTAGGGGACCGCCAATCATCCAGATAGCAAGGATATCGCGAGTTTTGTCGCGATGTGCACTGATGAAATTGAGCGGCTCGGATTAGTCCGTACAATCCCTCTGAGCACTTCCCGTGGTAGATGCAATAGAATACGCAAAGAGATTCGACATCAGTAATTATACTGGCTCCCATTATCCTTCAGATCGAACACAACAGTTGATGCAGTACCACCTGGCAATAATGTCGTATGGATAATTTCCCTGCGATTCACTATTCTGTGAAATTTGGGTACAACATTTTTAGATAGATTGTCCACGATGAGTTGTTTGATTACCCTCATTCGGGAATCCACAGGTCGCATCGCGTGCAAGTAGGAATGCCAGGTCGGAAGACCAAATTTCTGGACAAATTTTGAAAATGTCAGGATTTTGGGATTGTTGTCTGGAGAAATAATATTTATAATAAAAATGTAATATAAAAAGTTTATTGCTTAAATTAATAGGTTACAAAAAACTTGACATTGTTGACACATAACTAATTTAAGTACACTTGATTTTTAGGTTGCCACATGTATTTGATATTGGACTTTACCGACTCCACCAAATTGGACCCGTTAGTAGTATTCAGTAAAGATTTAAATTTCGAACAAGTTATTTTAATGATTTCTTATTATTATTCTTATTTTATTTATTATTATTATTTACGCGAACACTAAACATTGATTAAAACTAACTTTACGGATTTTATCGCGTTTATTTATGTTATTTTTAATACCCGACGTTTCAGGTGCTTTCCAGCACCCATGGTCACGGGGGACTGAGGTGACTAACGTCCCGATGTCAAAGTTAACCCGGAGTACTTTCAGCTTTTTAATTATAGTCTTTGGTTAGATCTACGCAGAATGAACTAACCGTGTTTTGAAGTCTTACAGTGGTATGCTTGGGTTTAGTTTTAATTTCATTAATGCTGGGAAACATGGGCATACTTACGTAAGTCGAAAATGTATATAATGCAAAAGATGAAAAGGCGCTCGAACTTATCGAGAAGATATTGAGATAGATCTGGGTAACACACTTCCGCATAATCAATAACGGGTAATATCAAATTCTGGATAAGTAGAAGTTTAGTTTTAAAAGGTAGAAAGTTTTTGAGATATCAAAGAGAACGTATTAGTTACTTTACGGCTCCTTTCATCAACTTGAACTCCCCAGCTTCTTATGGTCTTTATATAAGCCAAGATTTTGACAGAATTATAAAGTAGCAGCAACGTTCAATTGTAAAATAAGGGAGAAAGATTATCGTTATTAATCTTATTTAACACCCTGCCTAGGTAGTATCTATAACCATTGCTTTGCATTTGGATGGATTGACCGAAACACCATGTCTGTACGACCAATCTCTTATGGCATCAAGATTGTGAATGAGTTTATTAATATTATCGTGAAGGTCGTTATTACTAGATTGCACAAAGATCAAAAGATCATTAGCATACAGATGGTTCGAACAGTTGAGAACTGAAGTAATGGAATTTAAGAATAAAGAAAACATTATAGGAGAAATTTTTCCGCCTTGCGGCACGCCTGTTTCAATGTCAGCCCATCTTGAGAACTCTTCTCCTAATCGTACTGATTGCTGACGGCCGCGAAGATAGGATGAAAACCATTCCAAAGCTGGGACAGAGAATCTAAGATTAGTTAAGAATTAAGACTATAAGGCGTCATCCTAATTAGGAGCGATCGTACGATGGCGCGATGCGTTTTTCATCTCACGATCAAAGTGGTCGTACGATGACCTAACAGGTGTCCTAATAGATCGCGCGATGTCTATCGTGCGATGCCGTCGCTCGATGGCTGGCGTCGCGCTTACGCCACTTTAACGATGGCTCTTTATAGAGATGCACAGTTTTTGCTGTCGGGCAATATTGCTTTAAAAATTACAAATGACATTGAAAAAAGGAAACGTAGACAACATAAAATACTTTATAGATCCAGGAATCTGCGCGGTGAATTTTTCAACCTTTATTTTGATGTACGAAATAACGAAGAAGACTTTTACGATTATTTGTCTATGTCAAAAGAAACATTTGACTACATCTGCAATGGAATACGTAGCAATTGTAATCATAGAGTGACCAACTTTAAAAAACCCATTAGTGTGGAAGAAAGATTGGTATTAACAATCCGGTAAGTTTTTTTATTATTATTATGTGTGCGTATCCATTTTCCTCCAATTTGTAAGTCCCTGTTGAAAGACCATTCAAATGAAAGACAAATATTTTATGTATTTATTATATTTATTTATTACTTTTTTATATTTCTTTCATATAGGTAGTCATTATGTCGGCTTAATGTGCAACAGAGTATATAAAACACTTCTTAAGTCACAAAATTACGTAGAATTCTAGTTTTAAACTACTGGATTTACAAATTTTAAAAAAATCTTATAAATAACTATTACGGTATAAAAAAAGCAGGAAGAAAGAGCTTTAAAAAAAAGCAGTGATAGCCGAGTGGTACGACCGTTGGACTGCCAAGTCAAAGGTTGCAGGTTCGAACCCCGGCACGCACCAATGTCTTTTAGAATTCATGTGCGTATTATAAATTAATTATCACTTGCTAAAAACGGTGAAGGAAAACATCGTGAAGAAACCAGCACACCTGAGAGATTTTTCAACGGTGTGTGAAGCCATGTCGGAGGCCTACGGGCGGTTTAAACTTTTTTTTAAACTTAAAAGATTGTTCATCAACCATACGATAAGAAGAAGACGGTATAAAAAAAGCAATAATCACACATTTTTTTATTAGAAAAAAGAAATTGAGGTGTAAAAAATCTTATATTCAAGAATCATATTCAGCATTAAATGATTCGTAGAATTGTTATGTGTTTGTCAGTGGTGCCATGAATGGATGTGAGGATGCGTGCACAGGTGAAGGTATGATTGACATTGACATAGTAGATGAAGAGTTTGAAAGGGGTGATGGCATAGCTAGAGAAATTTCGTCTGCTATTGTATTCTGTAGTTTACTTTTTAATCTTAATTTTTGCACTGGATTCATATATTTAAAATATGGAGCTAGCGATTTAAAAAATAGTAAATCTTCATCATCAACTTCTTTTTCTTTCTCCTTAAACGCTTTAATTTTATCTTCTTCGATTTGGATCATTCGACGCTGATATTCGGTTAAAGATTGATTTTCTTTACATTTCTTTTTTGGGATCCAGTTTGTAATCCACTATCCAAAGCTTCAGTTGACAAAGCACTCGTGCTCTGTGTAATTGTACTGCGCGCACTGGTAGACAGTGGTTCGTCATCAGAAGACACAAAAGCCTCGGATCTATTAGACATTGCAGTAGAATTCTCTTCATCAGGCAACTGAAGATTCTGCTCTGATCTTGAAGTGGATGGTAGGCTGGCATCATAATCATTATTTCCAGTTTCTTGATGAACACTATTACCTTCGGTTGGTCGACGCATTGAAACATCCTTTAAAAACAACATATGTTGGTAATAGGTCCACTTTCCTGAGTAATATTGTTCATTTGGGCTTCCTGGATCTCCAGAGCGAGGCTTACGAACTTTTTTCAATTCTTTTAGAAAGACATCCCTTAAGTGTCGCCACCTAGTTTTAACGTCCTTTTCTGTAATAAATAACAATAAATTTTAATTCAACCTGTTATTATTTACAGGTACTTAACAACAGGAACCCCTTTTCGGAAATTAGGAGTGCCATTTCGCATTTCAAAAACCGCAATAGCAAGTATCGTGATGGAGGTTTGCAGTGCAATTTGGAATAATTTTAACGAAATACATATGAAGTTTCCAAGTATCGAAGATTTTAAGGAAATAGCAAATTCATTTTCAAATAAAAATAAATTTCCACATTGCTGTGGGAATCTGGAGGAAAAACACATTCGTGTCGTAAAGCCACAACTCTCTGGAAGCATGTATTTCAACTACAAAAATTATTACAAAAAATTATTAAAACACATTTCGCATCATTGACGTAGGTGCATACGGGAAAGATAGTGATGGAGGCGTTCTCAGCAATTCAAAATTTTTTTCAAGAACTTAACAGTGGAAATATTCAATTACCACCCGAGAAACGATTACCAAATAGTGATATTGTGGCACCATATGTATTTTTAGGGGACGAGGCTTTTCCTTTGAAAACGTTCATAATGAGACCTTATCCAAGAACACAAGCAACAGGAAATGCAGATAAATCAAGATTTAATTTCAAATTGTCTACTACAAGGGTCGGTATAGAATGCACCTTTGGAATGGCTGCTAGTAAATTTAGAATTCTTTTAAAAAGCATCGAAACATCTCTGGGCAATTCAATTAAAATTGTAAAGGCAGTCTGTCTGTTGCACAATATTATAATACACAGAGATAAGAGAGAACCAGAATGATATGTAACAAATAATCAATTAAATAACAATTTTGGAAGACTTCCTCGTAATAGAGTTAATAATCGTGCTACAATAACAGCAATTAACGCTAGAGAACTCTTCACCACTTATTTCCTTAATAGAAATGATTCCTAATTAACAGTTAATTTACGTCAATAGGGCTTAGTGCATGGTTGGCATACTAAATTCACCTATGAGGAGCCCCACTATGGGAAAATAAAATTATAAAAAATGTAAAAAATATATTGACGATTCAAACCCTCATATCTTCTAAAGTATGCCACTTACGATAATTTACTTGATACATGTTTCATCATTGGCTGTCACAATTTTTTCCCCGTACTGAGGCTCCTCATGGGTGAAATCGGGTCTAGTTCATAATTTCGAACGTGAAATCACTATGCCAGGCTTCATACAAAAATGTCAGACCCTCTTTAGTAATGAATGGAGGTACGATTTACGATTACGATTCAAATTATATCTAACTATACCAAGTAGATACTTAAGCCAAGGTATGAGTGTGAGTGTGTGTGTGTGTGTGTGTGTGTGTGTGTGGTATACATTATACAATTCTGGTTGTGATTAAAACTAAGCTCAAATTACTATCTACTTACTTGTTTTATTTACGTTCCTCGCAATTATATCCCATGCTCTTTCACTTTTCAACCTGTTTTTATAGTCCTCACTCTGTTTCACACAAACAACAGGATGTAAACGTACTTGGTTAATTAAATCTTCTTCGAATGTCATCTTGTATGTAACAGAATAGCCAAACGCTTTACACGAAGAATGAAAACACAAAATGGCGTCCGGCCGCGAGCGAGCCGAGTACACCTACTGTGTGTCACTGGTGTTGGCCCCACAGAGTACCTTTGTATAAGTTGGCCCTTGCCCCTTTCGTCCCGCGCCCCTCGCGCGTCGACGCATCGCGTATATAACCAATTAGGACACTCAAAAGAGATCTGTTGCTTTGATTACATGGTCGCACGATCAAACGCATCGTACGATCGTTATTAAGCATTTCATGTGTTCGCACGATTACTTGCGAGGTTCAAATAAGACACTCTGATGAAATCTGTATGTTTGAACTCATCGCACGACGAGAACGCATCGTGTCATCGTACGATCGCTGTCAATTAGGACGACGCCTAAGTATATCATTATCTACTGTGTTGTTTTTATTGGTGACCCAAATTTGGTTAAAACTAATCTTACCAGCCTTGAACACTGGCGCAAAGTAGCCAGCCCCTCTATTTTCTACAGGATGCAATTCGGGGAGTGTGTGCAGGAACTGCATACTTTAATTCCTCCTTCTCCCTTCCACCATCGTACAACCAGACGTTCGGTCAGTATCCACCCTTCTATTATTGACTTACCACGCATTCGAACCAAACGGTTTGCTTCGTCGATCATCATGCGTTCAGCAAAGAAGTGGAATAGATTGCCAGCATCTGTCTTTCCATCCGATTACAATGTGGGTGTCTTCAAGGCAAGAGTGAAGAGGATTTTGTTAAGTCAGTGCGCTTCACCATCTTAGGTTACATCACCAGTTACCATCAGGTGGGATTGTAGCTAAGCGCTGGGTTAGAATAATAATACTGTATTGAAAGCATTTGAAAAATCAACAAGCACCACCACTGTAAGCTTCTGGTCATCATTTCCCATTCTAATGTCGTCTGTGATTTTTATCAAGGCAGCGGTACTGTGATCTGCGTGAAAGCCTGACTGATATTTATTCAGCAGTTTGTGTGATTATGAAGATAGAGATTTTCTTGTGAACATAGGCTGCCAAAACTTTAGCTAGGTATTGCCATAGAATACTAGAATACACAATAGAATGGCTGTCACATCTCGTGTTGACATTTATACGTGTGAATTGACGTGTTAGTGGCATTTTAGTGGCTACATGGGCTCCGCCCACTCCCCCGTTCTATTATGTATGTATTATAGTATTCTATGGGTATGGCAATATTGAAATTGGTCGAAAATGGGTAGTAAAAAGAGATTAGATATTTTAAGAAGTGGTCGCACACAGGTTTGTTCCACTGAGTAATGGAATCGTTTGTAATATGTGTATTTGCAGGTAAAAGACAAGGATCATGGATAACATAACCTTTACTAACCTCATCCCAACCCACAGCCTTGCTTTTAATAGATAATACTAATTTCTGGATCTCATCTTCAGTCACAGGTAAGAAGTGAAATAAATGAATAGGAGGAAAAGGTATGGATTGAATTAAAGCTATTGTTGTAGAACGAACTGTGGGATCTAAAGGAGGAGTAGAAATAATTCTCATACGTGGTGGGGCCACGCTGCAGCTATATTATAGTTGTAGCACGAATAGGTCGGCTAGACCGGGGAAGGTCCACGCTCTCAGAATACCAGCGTAAAATAGTAGCTTAATGCTGCTGTGTTTCGTATGGTGAGTGTAGAGACCCGTTTTATTGGAATGGTGGCATTCCATCTTAATCCTCAGGGGTGACAGCGCATCTGCATTTTGATTTTTTTTAATCGAGGTTAAATGTAGATGTCTATAGACCACATAATTTACTTACCATCAGGTGGAATGTGTGTTTATTTGACACTCTTATTCTTTAAAAAAAATAAAGTGAAGATTTTTTTATCCACAGTGATTGATGAAACACAATCAGATATAACGGTCTTACTAATGCCTAGTGTTTTAAGAAATTTCCACACATCAGAGCTTGAAGAGGTTGTAATATTACTATGGATATAATGGCGTTTAGCATTTCGTACCAGCTGATTGCATCTGTTTCTTAGCCAATTTGTAACAATGCCAGCAGCTCTCCTTTGTACAATGCTTCTTAAATTTCCCAAATGCTCGATCTCGCCTGCGGTTTTCTATATTGACTAAGGTCGTACGTTGAACTTAGTCAATCCACAGGGCTGGTGGAAGCTTCACTCTTACCTGATGTTTGGAAGCATGCTGTATTTGACTGACTAAGAACTATATTATTAAGGGTGGAGACTTAATCATCAATCAATATCAATGTCAATAGAAGTTGACTTATTTTTTGTTACTGTGTATGTGTACAAATAACATAAATGTAATATATACATATTGCATTTATGTTATTTGCAGTTATAAAAGAACCATCAGCGCTGTAGGTTACCCTGCAGCATTACGCTGAGTCATAACGTTTTCACCGGCTCGATACACACCCCATCATTTGTAATATTAATCTACTCTTTAACTTTCTTTAATTTTGTTATGTGTACAGTTTCAGCGAATAAATATCTTTCTTTCTTTTTAACCGCCTTCTTAGTTTTAACCTTTTCACTGGCTCGATACACACTATTTTATTTACATACATTTAACTTTTTTTTTATATTTGCGATGGGCACAATTTCATCGAATAAATTTCTTTCTTTTGTTTAACCGACTTCGTAGTTTTATCACTATTCTAAAGTTGACTGACAGAGAATGCTTAAAGTAGTTGTTTGATCCCGTACTTATGTGAGGTTCATTAAAACTTAAATAAATAAATAAATATTACAACTTATGTCCAAGGAAAATGCAACCATAGCTTTCACTTATTTAAAGTTGGTTATCAAAGGACGTGGAAAAATAATCTATCTGTGAATTAGAAAAAATAATTTTAGGATCAGAAGCGATCACCGTACCTGGTCCTCCCTGATCCTTCGCGCGTCTCTCGACTTCTTCGCGGCCTGGTTGTTGCGGCGACGCCTTTCAAAGTACTTCTCATCCTTGAGCTCAGCGGGGATAGGTCTCTTTTCTCCGCGCCGTCTCATTTCACTCTCGCAGCCGGAAACACTTGCCGGAGATAGCACTGTGGATTAATCGTTTCCAGTGCGTATATTAGACTTGGAAGAAAAGACTTCTCCGTACAATAAAAACATAGTAGTACAGTACAAAAAAATACACTATAAAACATATAAAAGTAATCCTAAATCCAACGAAGTTTTCACAGACATCTAATACATAGTAAGAGCTTTCTACCACAATAATATGTATAAAAATCTAAAAAATATAAAGAAGAAATTTAACTGACTGGTATTTATAATTCAACATTAAGTATTATGCAGTTAAAAGTAATACCATACATACAACATATTGTGAAGCTACCAATTATAAATTAAGTTTTACAATATTTTTTTATAACTATTATATTTAAAGTTAAATTTTAAGTTAAATTTTTAAATGTACCAGATATAAAAAAATTTGTAGCATAGGTATACTTCGTTTTAACTTTACATTATGCAAAAAGAGTTTTATATCGTACACCTAACCTGTCACACACAAGATTCACAGTGATTGTGCTTTGATTTTTGCTTTTACAGACTGTGATCTGTGAGACCAGTTTGATAATGTTTGTCGTCGGACCTTACTATACTCTCTGGTCATAGTTGTTGGTCGTTTGTTCCGGAACTTTCAAAAAATTTATTTTCAATCATCAATACTTTGATGCGACCCGGTTCAAATGAACGAATCATTCAAGATTTACACATGTCTAGTGCGTTCGTAATTAAAAGTCGATTATTTAAAAAAAACATATTTTCTAAATAATCGACTTCTAATTAGTACCAACACTACACTACATGGAATATATCTATTATTAGGTATTTATGGGTCATAGCATGCATGACCATAATTAGACAGTGAGCTCATTTGTCAAGAGAATTTACATAAAAATTATGATGTAATGTGATGTGAGAGCGATACGTACGTGGTGCGGTCCCCACTGGCAGGTGCTGGCAGTATGGTGGCAGACATGAAGACTGCGGTAAGGACGCCAAAAGCGGCACCACGCCGTGTACATCTAGAAATAAGACCACAACTTTTAGCAGTAGACGATAATAGACGTTCCCTTTGACTTTCTTATTCTTATAAAGATATTAATAGTTACTTTGCAACCATCCGCTCAAAATAAAATGATGTGTCTTACCTAGTTTGAAGAGTACATCCCGCGTTCCTGCAATTGCGTGCACTAATACCATCACCACTAATCCCAGCACCACTACTCCCAACACCACTATTCTAGGAAAGACACACCATATACGTGTTTCGTCTCTGTTCGCGAAGGCCTAACAACGCTGAGAAGAAAGTGATAAAGAATATTGTTTTTTGTATTAATAATGAAATTACCGACAAAACTGGGTGAAAACGTGTATTAATAGTTGTGTAGCATGTTTATAACTCTTAGTATATTTGTATAGAATGTCGTTTTGATAACAAGTAATGTAAACAACTTTTATTATATTAAGAAAAATCGACCAATCACAGCGCGTCCTATCGTAGAACTCTAGAAGTTTTTAATTAACTGCGTAATAGTTGATACTAAAAATAATGATAATAATTTTTTTGCTGACTGAAGTTCAGAAATAAGTTTTTATTTAGAAATGTCAACAAATTTATAAATTTACTAGCTGGCCGGCCAGACGTTTTCTGCTCTTTTTAACGACCCTTGCTTTTAAAAATTCTTAAATTTGCAATAATAAAATATTGAGGGTCACTTATCGGGATAAAAACTATCTTATCCCTCAAGTTGGAGCAGCAATACACATTTACAAAATTTCATTAAAATCGGTTGAATAGTTTCGAAGTTCAACGCGGACAAACTGTGTGACACGTAATTTTTATACTTATAGGTATAATGATTGAAATATCAACCCTTTATAATTTACAATAATATTATAAAATGTAAATGCATATTTTACATGGCAACATTAATTTTGACGCATAACGTAGAACAAATTGCACTCTATGTTAGGTCGTGCGAAGTGGCGCACCTGGATAATTTGACCGCGATTACAGTGCTCCTGGCCTGGTGGTCTCACCCCAGCTTTATAATTATACAACACAAAAGGCTAACGATGTGTATTTTGTCGTACCTGCTCGTACCTCTTAGTACGGTACTGTCTGCTTTTTTCAATAAAAATAAACTATTAAAAAAAAGATTTAAAACCCGCGAAGGAGTTTCTGCGAGAAATTAACCGTCGGCGGATTGTTGCTCCTATATTATTGTTTAAATAATGGTTTTGATACGTAAAAGTTTTATGTATTAAGTGTCTGCGTATGTCAACTGCTGAAGCGGTAATGTTAACCTCAAGCTATTGTGTATCTTAGGCACAACTCTCTGCTGGCTCAAACTGCCGTCCAAATCTACTAAACTTTGTAATTTGTCGCAACAAATAAGGACTATTTTATAATATTTGACACTGGCAAAAGTACGAACAAGTTTTGAGATGCTCGAAATTTTAAAATAGAACATACCGGTACCAGTGTTATATGTTTCTAAAAAGCAAATTTATTTAAAAATAGAATTCCATAATAAGCCAATTGCTCAATATTAAAAAAAAAAGCGCGGGAAGCGTTGCAGGAAAATTAATAGAATTTTCCTGCAACGCTTCCCGCGCTTTTCATTTAAAACGATGGATTTTAACCGTGAACAGTTGCGCGTTATGATCTATTATGATTTTAAATTTGGTTTAACCGAACAATTAATTTTACGACGGTTACAATCAGCATTAGGAGCATTAGGCGTCACGCGCAACAATTCTGAATTCAAAGGGGATAAAATTAAGCTTATATATATATATATATATATATATATATATATATATATATATATATATATAACGCAAAATGCATATAAAACAATAGTTATGTAATAATATCTTCATATCGTATTTGATAAATAAATTACTTTTAACAGATAAATATTACAAAAGCAAAGAATAACTGTTGCCAATAAACAAATATTTGTCAAAAACAACCCTCAGTGATTAACTAGTTTGCCCAACCGTTTATAGGGTCCGAGGGCGCGTGGCAACGATCAAAGGGCCATATTCGATACATTATTGATATCCCTATTTATACACCAACAAAAATCCCTTCATGAACCTACGTAACGTACAGACAAATTTCGTCTCAATCACTCTAGTATTACAAACCAAACTTCTTAAAACTGTTCATTTCCTTTACTTGTGCTGTTACTCACGCAAGTTTTGCCGATGCTATCGTAAAGTACATGGGATATTGACTGTTATATCATTACGTTAAGGATCAAGTTATATTGTATTGTTTTACTATTAAGGAAGCACTTGTCTTCAACGAAGAGGGCTCGAGCACCTGCTCGAATTGGCCTTAATTTGTTCTATCTATAATCGCTTTGTTGGGTCATCCTTCCTCCACGTGTGGTTTTACATATTTATTCCCTTGTATCGCTGTACAACTTTGATTCAATTGTATGCGATTTAGGTAGGTATATCAATACATTCTTTTCTTTTTGCCATAATATTTGTATAAGTAACGTAATTGGACCGCTAAACGATTCTTTTTAATAGAACTAGTATCCGGCGCATTTCAGCTGCAGAAGAAATTATGGAGACATTGTTTTAAATTCGGAAGAGTTACACAGTACGCGAGTTAACCGGATGCGATTCCCGCTGGCACCAACGAAATTGTTAATTGCAATTTTATGTGCTGATATAACACGTGCTCGGCAGTGAAGGAAAACATCGTGAAGAAACCTGCATGTCTGAGAAATAAGAAAAAAAATTTCAAAGACATGTGAACTTCTCCAACTCGCATTGGGGCCGCGCGGTGGACAATTCCTTCAGAAATTAGCGGAGGCCTGTGCCCAGGAGTGGGACGTATATAGGCTGTAACTTTTTTGACTTTATATTGTTTACTAAGGATGATAATATATTAATTGAAGTTGAACGATGTATACTGTCTTTTTCTCATACATACGCACGCACACACGTGAGCACACACACACACACACACACACACACACACACACACACACACGCGCGCGCGCGCGCACACGCACACACACACGCGCACGCACGCACGCACGCACGCACGCACGCACGCACGCACGCCACTAGATACATGATAAGACGTGTAGGAAGTTGATGGACGTTGATGATTTAGTACCTACTCAGTTAGTTTAACATTTTTTATAGAATAATAAACGAGCACACAGTCCACCTGATGGCTAGTGGATGCTGTTGCCTATAGACATCTACATTTAACCTGGATTAAGAATCAAAATGCAGATGCCTTGTCACCCCTGAGGACTAAGATGGAATACCTCGATTCCAGTAAAACGGGTCTCCGGTTCTCTACACTCACCATACGAAAAACTATTACGCTGCTATTTTACGCTGGTATTCTGTGAGAGCGTGGTCCTACCTCGGTCGAGCCAAACCTATTGTGCTACAACCATAATATAGCTACAGCGGGGCTCTACCACGCATAATACGTGTATGTTTAGTTTACGTATGAAACTAGAGCAAAGGAATTAACTGAATGTGTCATTGTGGATTATGATCTATCCATCCAAGACACCGACGAATCCGTGCTTTAGTCTCAAGCGAGGAGTTGCAACGCTAACCACAGCGAGTTTGAATCCTACACGGAACAAGTATTTGCACGGCCTACAAATAATAATTATTCCATTTAGAAAGGAGTAGGCTCATATTTTGAAAGTCCTTACGTCACGTCGGACAAAAAAACAAACGACTGGCAACAGTGAACTCTACAATGACTTGGTGTAGCAGATTTTTTTCTGGTAATACGCACAAAAAGGCATACAGACGAGAATAAATTGCTGATGTATAATTTTTCGTATAGCCCATATAGAGAAAGTTACAAAAGAAATATCTTATACATGGTAGAGTCATGCTGTATTTATATTAGTAGTATAGTTGTAGCACGAATGGGTCGGCTCGATCGGGGAAGGACCACACTCTCACTAAGTACCAGCGTCAAATAGTAGCTT